AGAAAGCATTAAATGAGCTGAACTTTGAGATAGACAGGTTACAATAGCAGAACACCACATCAGGTTCCACCACTCTTGCCTCAAACTGGACTGCTGATCAGAAAAACATCACCTGGTCTTTTTTTTCCGATCTGTCCAGTTTCAGTTCCTATGGAAGTGGCCTGCGAGTGCATATTTATACAATGTTATGTTCAGTGTCTTGTCTGAAATTGCTCTTTATGTACCATGTATTCTTATAAACATCAATTGTAATTGTGCCTCCTTCACCTGTTTCAATACTTAATTGTGAAAGCACTAAAACTGGTTTGAAATTACAAAGCTATAAAGCTAAGGAAGGCTAAGGTTAACACATAAGCTTCAACACAGCACAGTAGAACCCAAACCTGAGCAAGAAATCCAGCAGCACTAATACGGAGTTCATGCAAATGCCGGTAAACTACAAACACATGCAGCTTACAGCTTTCTTAAATACCACCAAGCGTGAGAAAACTTCAGAAAAATTTACATTTACAGCATTTTGCAAATACCCTTATCCTTATCACGACCTTCCGATCAGGAGTCCACTGTCTTAACCACTGACACGACCACTGCCAATAATAAAACTGATAACAGCATGTTTGTACGTAGAGAGGATGGATTTTTCTTTATGCAGGAATCATTGTCAAATTAAATTTCTTATAAAATGCACTGTAAACACTATACATCTAAATTTGAATCGAAGCGGAAAGATAATCCTAATAATTCTTCATATAATGATGAAGCTACAAAAATTTCACAGTTTTTGACTGAAACTTGAATAGAAAACCTTTCCTTGCATGAGGCATTCTGAAATATCTTCAAATGATTCCATTATAACAGCTGGAATAAACAATGCATAGCTCTGTGTATCGATTAAAAAAGAAAAGCGAATAGATCCTTTTCAGCAGCTCGGGTCAAAATCATAGTACGTGGTAATGACACAATACAGTATGACTTCACCAATATATATTTATAGTTCATTCAAAGAAAATAACTTTGGGGAAATAAATATATATAACATTTTAGAGACATTTTTTCTATTCTATTCCTATTTAATGTGAAACGAGGGAATTTCCCCAGTGTGGGATCAATAAAGTTTTATCAGTACTGTGCAAAAGTTTTAGGCACCATTTTTTTTTTGTACAAACTTCGTTCTAGATTTTTATTTTATAACTTCTACATTATCGAATCAGTAAAAAAAAAAAAAAACATTTTAGATTCCCAAACATTACTTTTCTAGCACAAAATTCAGTGCAACAGAAAAATGTTTCTTTGTCAGTAAAGAAAGCGGTATATTACGTAAGAGACACTTTTCAGACAAAAAATAAAAACAACAACAACGAAGGTTGCTGGGTTTTGCTGCAGAAATAAGAAGCGAGTACGATAGTCAAAGTCTCCAGAAGAACCGTGTCTGGTTCTGCAACATGCTCAATAACACTTACAGCTCATTTCCTTATAAAACTGCACTAACCCTACCTGAGACTATTAAATTTTTTTTGTCATACAAAATATATAATATTTGTTTCATTTACTACTGTTCTTTCCGGTATTTTTATTTTTTTTTTAATGTAGAAAACTTTATTTCATTATTTTGAAGGCATCTTTGCTCCACAGCATTTGTATAGCATATTTGCATGTGCCTAAAACTTAAATATATATATTTTTTTTAATTTACACACTTATATCATTGTCACAATATACAAAATACGCATAATATTTTCAAAAGTTATAACTTCTAATTAAAATATTTCAGTGCGTTTCAGGATTCTTTAAGCATCCAAACCTTAAAAAGCTACAGCTGATTAACTGTTAAAGCCTGAGGGATATCGGAGCTCCCAGTATACTGATCTGACAGCAACATCCTCACGGTAACAGAGCCGACTTTCTGTGTCTGTTGCAAAAGTTATGCGAAACATGAGTCATGGCAGCATGTCTCAATGCAAGTTACATCACACTGAAAGGAACAGTTACCACCACACATGTGACAGTCTGTAACCCTTAGTAAGTCATGGCACCGATGATGGGTAATTTATTTATTTGTCCTTTAACTGAGCAGGGTGGATACCCTGAGGTTTCCATTTCTCTTCTTGCATCAACCAAGTATCGAATTACTTAGCGGGGGAGAAAAAAACAGAAAAACAAAACAGTTCTCCTGTAACTGCCATCCAGTCATGTTTTCAAAATCACATCCATCCAAGTAATATGAGACAGCTTTAAAATCAGATTTTACCCACATATCCGGCAAGCCTCGGAACAACAAATTATCACGTCTAACCAGATCTGTTCATTTCCGTCTTTAACCGGCTTCGTAGGCGGCCGCAGTCGTTCAAGAACACACAAAATCAGGTAGAGATGAAAAGCAGAACCAATCTGAGGCATGGCTCTTAAAATGAAATCGAGCCTGAGGGTCTATGATTTACTGATTTTGTTACAGACATGGAAAAATCACAATCCACTACAGTCAAAGTTATTCAAGTTAATATTTAATATGCATTTTACAATTATTAACATAATTAACTGGTCACTTGAAGTGAACGGGTTTAATCCAAACCTCACTAACTCCAAAATAAAGTAAGCTTATAAAATACTGTCATTTTAAATCAAAGCATGCCTTAATAAAAATGTCTAGAAAGTTCAGAAATGAACAAGCTCTAGTCTGCACATTTGTGCCTAATATTTGAAAAAAAAAACTGATTGCGTTTAGAAAATAAATCTAATGGTCCTTTAGTTTTATGGCTCTTTATTTATAAAGGTTTGAAGATCCTTTATTTAAAGTCTACAAAAATAAATGATTTTTTTAAATAAATAAAAATTTAACACTGAAAATGAGAGAAAAATACAACTTTAAAAATTAAGTATAAAATCTTAAACAGCTGCTTTTTAATTAATGTAAAAACTTTAAATGAAAACAAAACAAATTATATCCATATCTCAAAAACGTGTACGACAATTCATCAGTACATGGATGTTACATCTGTATTCATTTTGAAATATTTAATTGACATTTAGCATTGTTTTGTTTGTTTGTTTTGCAGTTTTCCAATTAAAGAAATCCCTAGCTGCAAAAAAAAAAGTCTAGACGGAGTTTTCTGACCAGCACAGAAGAGTCAAGTCTTAACATTAAAACAAATCTGAAGGACACTGGAGCTCTCTCGCCAACAGGCTTCTCAAGATTGCATAGGGTTGCACTATATCAAGGTATCAAATTACTGAAAAGCATCCAAAACTAGAAACTGTCAGTACTGGTACTAACTACTGTAACCTGCTGCTATATGCCCACATCGCTGTAGGCTTTCTCCTGTACAGTAACACTAACACACACACAATCATTATTCCAGTTCATCAGAATGTCACCGTCATAACGTGATCATTTTTAATGAATATACTGAAATATTACACTCATTATTTAAATTTATACAAAAATATTTCAGATTTTTATTGGAGCTTTTTATTCCTCAACACATCAGGTCCAAGTGGGCATTATCTGAAGGCTACTTCATATTTATAGAGGTTTAAATTCATTCAATTTTACAGAATAGTAAAACTATAAGTACTCAATAATAAATCTAAACTTTATACCACTCTAATAATTATTTTTTAATCACAGACCCCCCAATAATTATTTTTTAATCACAGACCACCCCCCCCCAAAAAAAATATCTCTCCTGCATTAGCCTATTCTATACAAATAAAGAAAAAACATACAACTTTCTTAGAATTTAAAGCAAGTAGATATTTAGTGTCTTGCCAACACTAGGCCAGTGTGCCGGGTTTGTTTGTGTTAAAGTACGTTACAAAGCCTACTACATGTAGAAGTGACAGCCAGCAACCATCACAGGAAGTGGAAAAACCCATCGCGTTCAGCAAGGTTTAAGGCCGAGCAGAAACCTGACTTCTATTTCACACTGAACAGATAGACAAGTGACGTTGCAACAAAACGTACAGTATCGAGCAGGGAGAATACTTCTCATTAATCTTTTCATTATAACGCGCTACTTTTGCACTCGTGACATCAAACATGCTACATAAATTAAAATGCTATGTACCTTCAACAGCTTTATGTAATAAAAAGTAACACATTTAATGCTAATCCAGGCTTACACTTAACTTCTATATAAACTGTCATTTATGTCATTTGTTTAACATGCTTCATAAAAATATGCGGCTTTTCATCCACGCGTTGCTTATACACCGTGCATGTTTACATACATTAATTTAGCTTGGAATTCCAATCAAATCTCCATTCACTTGTGCCATCGTATTATTTCAGTATATAATGTACATGATCGCATCATAATGTATATCAATGTGCATCATTATCATCACATTATCATCAATGTGCAACACTATTCAGCGAGTTACATGTCGAGTCATATCAAAATAGGAAGCAGGGTCTACGTCCGAGCCAACCGCTCTTTCTCCGTTAGACAATATTCATTTCCCCCTGATTTGTTTTGCACTGAAATTTCATACGCGCTGCTCATTCATGTGAAGATCCGCCTCACAAGTCATTTGCAGTGCTCCATATAGCTGAAGACAGTTACAACAATGTGACAAAACCCCAAGCATCTGTCTTGTCTCTGTACGGTAAAGCGCAAAATCTGTAGCTCACTTACCAAACTGGAGATGAATGAATGATGGGCGAATGCGCAGCGTTCTTTTACAACTGCACCAGAAACCAAGCTTGCAAACCAGAATGGAGGAAATGAAAAAGTTCTGAATGAACACTGCAGGATGTGGATGTCTGAGGTCTCAGAGGAGTTCCGCTCATCTGCCGCAGCTATATTGCAAACACAGACGCCTCTCATGCACTCTCTCTCTCTCTCTCTCTCTCTCTCTCCTCAATTGAAATAAAAGCAGAACTGTGTCCATTTCAAAAGAAAGAAGTCATTTCATGTTTGCATTGTCACATTTGGTTTGATGTTTCAGAACACAGGCAAACTATTATTCAAAAAGTTTCAGCAATGTATTTATTTACTGGGGGCATGGTGGTTTAGTGGTTAGTGCGTTTGCCTCGCACCTCTGGTGGTGGGTGTTCAAACCCCGCCTCTGTCCCGAGTGCACAGAGTTTGCATGTTCTCCCCATGGTTTAGGGGTTTCCTCCCCCAGTCCATAGACATGCATTGCAGGTTGATTAGCATATCTAAATTGTCTGTAGAGTGTGAATCGGTGTGTGATTGTGCCCTGCAATTGGTTGGCACCCTGTCCGGGGTGTCCCCTGTCTTGTGCCCCGAGTACCCTGGAATAGGCTCTGGCTCCACGCAACCCTGTGTAGGATAAGTGTATGGAAAATGGATGGATGGATTTATTTACTCACAAGGTCTGCAGCTCTACATTACGCTATATTAAACAACTAAATCAGCTCCTGGATGAAAGAACATCTATGAGGTAGATCTTAAATCATAATCACTGCAAATTATTGACCGCCTAGTTCCCAAGTAAGACTGATCTTACAACTTGGTTGATCATGGTGCATCCAAGTGTTTATATAACTGCACAGTCCTCCCAGGATTTTGCGATCGCAGAAATGACAAAATCAAGTAAAGGAGCTTGCAATTTTTCTAAATTACCACAGATGTGGTCCAAGAGCAGTCATGTGACATCGCCACAACACACATTCAGCCAAAGCCCTCTTGGATTCACGTGCGTCAAACATGAGGACAGCTAAAAAGATATCATTTACCAACAATCCTCAATGTGAAAGACCGTGAAAAACAACTTCACAAAGCAAATTCAAGGAAGTTTCTTCAAATGAAAAGTGTTTTTTTTTTTTTTTTTTTTTTTTAAAGAACAAAAAACTCTGCAAGTTGAAAAAAGCCACAGCAAAATCAAGCATTTTTGGCTACAACAGGGGAAAGAAATATAAATAAATAAATAAAAACTCCTCAAAATCCTGAACGGACTGGCAAGGGCTAGCGGGTGGGAAATGGCAGGACCAAAAGGAGGAGAAAATCAGATGGGGAGGGGCAGAGTTTAAAAAATACATATATAACGATAGTTAAACATATTTCTACGATACACCATTATGCTTCATGCTATACAAGACCGCTAACAAACTGCCTGCAAAAAAAGTTATCGTATTTATTAAACGTTTTTTATTTATTTATTCATATACACACATACATATACATATATAATACATACATATATATACACATATGTATATAATATATATATATATATACACACATACATATATATATATATATATATATATATATATATATATACACACACACATATGTATATAATATATAATACATACATATATATACATACATATATATATATATAATACATACATATATATACATACATATATAACACACACATACATACATATATACACACACATATATACATACGTATATATATATATATATATATATATATATATATATATATATATATATATATATATATATATATATACACACACACACATATGTATATAATATATAATACATACATATATACATACATACATATATATATATATAATACATACATATATATACATACATATATACACACACATACATACATATATATATATATATATATATATATATACACACACACACACACACACACACATTTATTTATTATTTTTTTATCTTGGTTTTCGATATCTATAAAATTCATCTTTAATACAAAAACAAGTAAAACAAAAACATTCTGTGAACTCTTGAACATTTTACAGTTATAAACTTTAAAAACTTAAATCTTATGAACTCCTTTTAACCAGTTATTTAAAAAAAAGAAAGCACAATACCTGCAATATCTCAGAAAAGTGTGTTGTGACAATTTATCACAGTATCGCTATTACAGTGCTGTGAAAACGTTTTTGATTTCCTGTCTTCGCGTATCTATACTAATTTTTTTCTGAAATGAAAACAAAATCTAAGATAAAACAGACAACCTGAGTAAACATAAGATACAGTTTTTAAATGAAAATGTTATTTTTGAAGCAAAAATATTTATCCAATATCAACTGTGAGAAAATGTATTTCCCCCTAAATTCATAATGGGGTTCAGCTGGACTAGACACAACCAGGCCTGATTACTGCAAACCCTGTTCAATCAAATCAACACTTAAAAAGAACTTTTTCAACAGCATGAAGTTGGTTAAAAGGTCTTACCCAGTAACACACTATGCCAAAGTTGAAAGAAATTCCAGAAATGAAGAAGTTGGTGATTGAAATACATCACTCTGGGAAGGATTACAAAGCTATTTCAAAGGCTCTGGGACTCCATAGAACCACAGTGAGAGAAATTATCTCCAAATGGAAAATCTCTGCATAGTAGTGAACCTTCCCAGAAGTGGCAGACCTTCCAAAATTCCTCCAAGAGCACAGTAACTACTCATCCAGTAAGTCACAAAGAGCCAAGGACAACATCAAATGACATACAGGCCTCTCTTGCATCAATAAAGGTCACTGTTCATGACTCCACTATCAGAAAGACACTGGGCAAAAATGGCATCTATGGAAGAGTGGTGAGGTGAAAACCACTGCTAACCCAGAACATCATTAAGACTCGTCTGAATTTTGCCAAAACACACCTTGATGATCCTCAAATCTTTTGGGAGAATGTTCTGTGGACTGATGAGTCGAAAGTGGAACTCTTTGGAAGACAGGGGTCCCGTTACATCTGGAATAAATCTAACACAGAATACCTACAGTCAAGCATGGTGGTGGAAGTGTGATGGTGTGGGGATGCAATGCTGCTTCAGGGTCTGGGCAACTTGCAATAATTGAGGGAAACATGAATTCTGCTCTCTACCAGAAAATCCTAAAGGAGAATGTCCGGTCTTCGGTCTGTAAGTTGAAACTCAAGTGCAACTGGATTATGCAGCAAGACAATGATCCACAGCATAGGAGTAAGTCCTAGAAGTAAGTGAAAGACTGATCTTTAGTTATTGGAAGCTTTTAGTTGCAGTTATTGCTGTTAAAGGTGACACAACTAGATTTTACGTTTAAGGGGGCAACTAGTTTTTCCACATGGGTGATAGGTGTTGGATAACTTTTTTGTTTTGCTTCAATAAAAAAATAAATAAAAACCATAGTGTGTGTTCACTCAGGTTGCTGTTGTTTTATGTCTTATTGCGTTTGAAGATCTAAAACTATATAGTATGAGATATACACAAAAACAGAAGAAATCAGAAGAGGGCAAATACAATTTTTCACAGCACTGTATATTACATGACCCAGCCCTCCTATTTCTCACCCAGAAACATCATTTATTCATCCATCTTTAGTATCTGCAGGTGGATCAGGAGCTTACGTGGATAAAACACAACCACTGACTCACACTTCGGTGTGTTCGCGCCGCCAGACTTGTCCCCACCTGCATGTTTTTGGAGGTGGGAGAGAACCAGAGAAAACCCACATGAACACAGCTCTCGGTTACTCATTACAGTTAGTAATCAAGGATCAGAAAAAGTTCCTTCATCCAGAGCTAATACTCCTTCACAGTGCAGGGGACAAAAGAGGTCAGAGTTACATCCGTACCTTACTGAACACAGCACTGTTTTGCCAGCATGCTTGAATTAAAAACATCTCTTTTGAACGCTGTAGCAAAATTCATAGCAAATATATTGCCCTGTTTACAGCTCTAATTCCAGGTAGTGTGTAGGGTGATAAGAGCAGCACAAGCTCATTTCACAGGCTATAAACACACACACACACACACACTATCATAAAGCACCACAAGTGACCATACCGACACACTGCTGGAGGAACGAGCTGCAGAAGCACTGGTGCGGTGTGCACTTGTAGCCAAACAAACAAACAAACAAACAAACAGGACCCAGTATGACAAAACGGACAAAAGGCGTGTTTTGTTATTGCCCTGGTTGAATATTAATGCGACTGCGAGCACTCCAGCACAGCTAACCGAGCTTATCCACCGTCCTCACTGCTTTATTCGAGAAGAATACACGTAAGTGTTGCACATGCACCATGATATATCATCTGTGCACAAACAGAGAGAGAGGTGTAATTAAAGGTTCAGTGGAGGCTCCTGAAACGCTCTCCTCGCTGTTATTGTTGTCTCGGCAAAGTGCAAGAGCAAAGAAATGTCAAGGTAGTGTCTGGAAGGAATTAGTTTAGAGGATGGAGGCTTCATATTCTGCAAGAACGATGCGCGCTAGGCCAGAAGCAGACGACTGCACCTGGTGACCATCTTTCCCAACTTGCAGCATCAGAGCCTTCCTCTATCCTCCAGGTTGTGTGTGTGTGTGTGTGTGTGTGTGTTTGAGTGTGTATCAGCGCTGAAGGAGGCGGCTGCTCTCTACATACACTGTGACCATCATCATTGTTAGCGTTATCTTTATCATCAGCAGCTGCATCCAAGCATCAGGGACTGCTTGTGCTGATCTCCTTCTATATTCAGCGCCTGGTAATGCGTTCACCTGGGGTTAGGTTCCTTGGTTGGTTGGTTGATTTGTTTGTTTGTTTGTTTGTTAGCCTTCCTGACACGCTACAACGCCGCATGAACTAAACCGACACACTAAAGAAACGTCAGAAAGCTTTTCTCACTGCAGCCGAGCCGAATAATGGTAGCTACTGACCAAAGCGAAGCGCGATGATGCCTCACCCCCTTCCAGCCGTCGCCGAGCCTCCTGTCCTCTCACGCCGCGGATATAGTTGTTGACTTTCAGGAAGGCTGCTGACGTCACGGAGAGCCTCTTCTCTGACCGTCTCATCCCGTCCACGCTAGGTCCAAGCTGGCCCCGCCCCTCTTTCTCCTCCAACCAAACTCTCGCGAGATTCTGCTCGCTGATAAGAGATGTGTGTATGGCACCTCTGCTTGACGTTATCATTAATAACACCTGCTATTAAAGCGACTGTTTCCCTAGATTCCATGCCCCCAGGTTAATACTACAGGATTATCAAACTTTTTTTCTCTTTCTCTCTTTTTTTTTAATTATTCGCTATAATTGTGGACTAGTATTATTTGCAGAGTGTTTCATGGGATCTGCATTATCTAACCATGGAGTTTAAAGGGCTCCTGTCTAGAGCTGTGAATTAGACTACTATTCTGGTTATTTT